GGCGAGTGGCACCGCTATCAAGTCAGTACGCATATCCATGAGTGTGTGTCGTGGGGAGGTGTGGGCGTGGTATTTTTCTTCTTTTTTTAGGGGATTCGGAAGCGGCCCAGGTTGGAAGCGCTGGCTGACATGGTTAGTACTTGTTGAGTGGTGCAATGAGATTCAACTAGAACAATGGGTGAGCGCGTGAAACTCTATGGTCGTCCCAATCCAGGCCTGTCATAGATCAGATTCGAGTGAGAGACTCAGTTTGGGGGTAGAATTCACCGGCAGAATGCCAAGACAGGCCCGATGTTCTCTCCCACTTTGATTGTGGGTGCAAGTGTCGGATTTCTGTGCTTATATATATATATATAATTCTGGGACCACAAATCACACAACCCCCTGTTTCCTTCAGCTGTAAGGCATTTGTGGGATACACGACCCGGAAAAAAAACGCAAGACGCAAAGGTCATGGCAATGCCAGCCTCCTGCTGATTATAGTCCTTTGTTTCGTAGTGAGCCATTACAGGAGGATTCATAAGCTACATAGGATTACAGCTTTTTGCAGCGTCAAAAACCATAAAACAAAGCTCAAACGATCTCCAAAACACTTCTCGATAAGTGTCGGAACCTGCAGCTGGTCAGGACTCCTGCCTCCATGGTCAGGGCACAGGGGCTTAGTTGACAGGGTCTTTGTATGCTGGTGGGAGAGATGGGTCTCCTGCGGACAGAATTTCAGCTCCGCATCACGAGATGGGCCTGTCCTTAGGGCAAAGCAGACCGGACTTTCCACAACTTTTTTCTGTTGAAACGATGTACCATGGGGCCCTGCATTTTCTCTCATTCGCTTCGACAGCCCATTTGTTCTTGAAGCTCTTCAGGTAACTTTGCAGAACATCCACATTTTTGCGCAAAAATAAGTTCATCCCACTGCAGGAGCCCCTAAAATAAGAGTGGGAACTTGCAGGCTGGGACTCATATAAACCTAGCAGAAGGTGCTATTTCAAGAAGCGGAAGTTGAACAGGTGAACCTGGTGCAAAGGAACACCGCCCTCATTAAATGGTCGGAGAATGCGTTCGTAAGTCTTGCAGGATTTCATGGGAAGAAGCAGATCCTTCCCAAAACTGACTGAGATTTGCAGGTTTGCAACACACTTGCTCTTGTAGTACCCTGCTACTATAGGAAGAACGATCCTTTTATTCAGGGACATCAGCTTTTGCATCCCCCAAATTCGATCCTTTGCCGGTCTGATAGAGAGGATGAGGTCTTTGCATTTGCGGCCTTTGCGTCAATCCTTGAACTCTTTGATCTCTTTGGATGCCACGGATCGCGCGACAACACATACACACACAAACCTTCCTCCCATCTCCACGAAGCTCAGAACTGTTTGGAA